AAAAAAGTTGTATATAAAGTTGAGCTTCTATTTCTAAACGGAAAACAAAGAAGAAAGATCAGATTCCGATTTGCTCATTACTCATCAGCATGTTTTTTTTTATTTGTCCTGGTTTTCGTTTGCAGTTTTATCTTTTCTTTTCATTTTCTTTCGCTCGGGCACATCAATCTTCATGACACTGTAAAAATTTCTTATCAGTCAGTGCAATTTGAGTAAGTGGATGGAAGGCGGCACTGTTGCTGTTGTTTTAAGTTTTCAAGTTAGTTAGCTAACTGACTGGTTGGTTGGTTAAATCCAATTTTGTGATACAAATCTAACAGTCATTTGGTAACCAAACCAAAGAAAAGCGGGCTTAACTGTAGTTAATGTTCTTTGGTAATTTTCTATTATGATAAGGGTTCTCCTTTACTGTTGATATTGTTTTTGTCGTTTTTTAATTGCAAAATTAATGCTAGAAAGAAAATTCAAATAATGGTAATAAAATTAAGTTAAATTAATTAAAAAAACAAACGTTATCTGCCTTTTTTAATTTTTTTCAATAGGTTTGTATTTATGCTGCTAAATTATGCTAGTTTTTTTTGCTGTTGTTTGAATGAATAAGTGGATATATGAATGAATGAATAGGCGACAAAGGGAGGAATGTCTGAAGAAATAACTAAATACCCGCCTGTATAAACCTGAGTTGTCGGATGAAAAACATAGAACAAGTTTTCTTTTGGACATTATTAGCACATGCATATGAGATAGAAGCAAAAAAAATTGAAGCATATGCATATCTCACATCTAAATTCTATCACAAATATATGTTATAGTTAAGGCTGCAAGAAGAGAGAAGTTCAAACAGAAGAAACGAGAATGTGTCTGTACACTGATAAAATACTTTCAGTATCGCCTTTCCTCCTGCAAAAAAATGGCAACCGTTAAAAAAAGAGAAAGTGGAAGAGAAAGAGTGAGAGAGAGGAGAGAAGAGACGGGAGGAAAACGAACGTTGTTGTTGCCCATATTTGTCGATGCCTCTAATTAGACAGTTGAAGTGCACAGTACATTAAAAAAGTGGGTTGTTTTTTGTAAGAGCTTTTTTTGACCCAAATTTTTATCTTGACTTTTTTTTTCTTGATTTTTTAACGTTTTCATTTTCTGCTAAAAAACTAAACAAAAAAGTAAGAATGAAAAATATTTAATGC